GGAACACAAAGAGCCTCAAACCTATCATTCAGGGTCTTGACGAAGAAGTCTGACCATCTTGTAGGTGGGCGTCCACGCGATCTTTTGACGTCCCGTGGAATCCAGTCAGTAATGGCTCTAGTCCAGCGGTCATCTCTAAACCTCATTACGTGTCCAGCCCATCTGATTTTTGATGACTTGGCAAATGAGACAGCGTCCCTGATTCTTGAGCATTGACGGAGATTGGAACTCCAGATTCTATCTCTCATTTGAGTGAAGCGTGATACTCCAAGCATAGCTCTTTCGATTCCTCTTTGAGACCCGAATAGCGTTCTCATCCTGTTTTCGTAGGGCCCAGGTCTCTGAACAGCATATACAACAAATATATAACAAATAACCCTATACTTTTATATATTTCATAAATATATTTCATTTAAACAAAAAATATAAACATATGCAGAATATTTTACTAGATGGGGAAAAAGTAGTTTGCACACTTCTCTAAGTGTATACTGACTGCTTTAGAAACCACTGCACTTAAAAAAAACTAAGCAGATCATCCCTCCCTCAGCAAGTTCTGGAGTCAGGATGCCCATAATAGAAGATAACCCTGTAATTTATTAGCTTCATTGCTGTGGCTGTGATATAAAGCTGTGACTCAAGTTTCCTTATCAAAAACAAGGATAACAATATTCTTGTTTGTTATCAGAATAAAATAAGTTATTATGCATAGCATGCTTAGAACTATACCTGAAAAACAGAAAATTTTCAAAAAGTGGTAGCTATCACTTAATCACTTAATCCCCGTTATTCATCGATTTATTCGAGCGGGTGCCAGTAACGTCTCCATTCATCCCGGTTGCGTGCTAGCGTAGCCCAATGGTATCTGTTCGTTTTAGGAACATGTAGAGCCTCAAACCGATCATTTAGGGTCTTGACGAAGAAGTCTGACCATCTTATAGGTGGGCGTCCACGTGATCTTTTGATGTCTCGTGGAATCCAATCAGTAATGGCTCTAGTCCAGCGGTTGTCTGTAAACCTCATTACATGTCCAGCCCATCTGATTTTTGATGTCTTGGCAAATGAGACAGCGTCTCTGATTCTTGAGCGTTGACGAAGATCAGAACTCCGGATTCTATCTCTCATTTGAGTGAATTGTGATATTCCAAGCATAGTTCTTGATAGCATAGTAGCTATCATTGTCATAATTATTATATTTATACATTTTTCTTTGGCTATATGCAACAAATAATGTATGTAAGGCTTGGTCACCATGCTTACCAAGATTTCTCAAAATCTTTTCACTGATAGATAAGCTCCTGTTTTGTTTTGTTTTGTTTTTTAAGCACACAGGCTGGAGAGATAGTACAGGATTTAAGATGTTTCACCTATCCTGGTTTGGTCCCCTGGCACCACATATGGTTCCCCAAAGCACCATCATGAATGATCCCTGAGCACAAAGTCAGGAGTAAGCCATGAGCACAACCAGCCATGTCCCAACCCTCCAACACAGTCCCAAACCCCAACCCCCAAAAAGCACATGGTTTCTTCCTTCTTTGGTCATACATGCCATCACTATGTTTTTTCTTTTGATGAAGCAAGAAAGTTTCTATTGAAACTTATTTAAGAAGATGCAACAGGAGAGAGAAAAGGAAAAATGTGTGTTGAAGAGAGAACACAGGCTTTTCCAATGTGGAAACAGGCAAGCAAAAAAAAAAAAAAAAACAACATACTGACAATTAAGCCAGATATGTATTCAAGAGAAAACCAGGTTTTGAAGAGTAAGCCCATATATGCCATCACTATTTTGTTAGGCCCTAGTGGGTCCCTGAAGCTCCCAAATAAGACAATACTTGGTTAAGAAAATGTTTCTTAGGAATATATATTAATATATAACTTATAGTACCACTGTAGCACTGTCCTCCTGTTGTTCATCAATTTGCTCGAGCGGGCACCAGTAACGTCTCACAACAAATTGTGAGACTTGTTACTGTTTTTGGCATATTGAATACGTCACAGGAAGCTTGCCAGGCTTTGCCTTGTGGGCGAGATACTCTTGGTAGCTTGCTGGGCTCTTCGAGAGGGGCGGAGGAATCGAACCCAGGCCATTATGTCAGCTGTGTGCAAGGCAAATAAACGCCTTACCCGTTGAGCTATCGCTCCAGCCCCTTTTATAAGAGATCAGATTTCTCTCAACTGGTACTTTTCTGTACCTCACTAGCAGACACAAGAGTCAAAGTATAACATGGCAACACACAGCATATTTATGCACTGAGATAAGAGATGGTCTAGGATAATGTGTTTATTACTTCCCAAACTGATAATGGAATTCATCTTTGAAAGGATAAATTTTCTGTTCCATTTACTCTGGAGATTTCCGATCCTCTCAATACCTGAGGCAGCATTAGATAGTACAGACATTAAACATTCATTGAGCAAACTTGCATTATACCTGCTTTAGACTTTGCAGCACAAAATTCTTACTGTGCATGCTTTCCAAGGTCTAGAGCTCTAAAGCCTCAGTCTTCAGTCAGCTTATGCTAGCAAAAAAATCCCCAAATAATAATTGAAAGAAAAACTGGATCCTGCCAGATGTTCCCCTTCAGCCTATTTAAATTAAGGACATTATTTGAGGGTCGGAGTGATAGTACAATGGGTAGGGCATCTGCCTTGCACATGGCGAACCCGGATTCAATCCCAGGCATCCCATATAGTCCCCTAAGCAGAGCCAGGAGTAATTCCTGAGCGTAGAGCCAGGAGTAAACCCTGGGCATCACTGGGTGTGACCCAAAAATTAAAAAAAAAAATTTTAAATGGACAGTATTTGAGTTTGCAAGTGATTATGATTACTTGCTCATATTGTATCTTTAACAAGTGACTCTGAAGATAAGACCAATGCTATTTTTTCTTGGCATTGTATCCTTAAAACCTAGTATAAAATTTGACACGTGCTAGATGCTCAACAAGTATCTGAAACTTCTGTTCAGACATAATTTCACACTTCCTACCCTTCGTCACAGCAGGTAGGGCATTTGCCTTGCATGCGGCCGACCAGGTCAGCCCAGGTTCGATTCCTCTGCCCCTCTCAGAAAGCGAGGCAAGCTACCGAGAGTATCTCGCCCGCACAACGAAGTCCGGCAAGCTCCCCGTGGAGTATTTGATATGTCAAAAACAGTAACAAGTCTCACAATGGAGACTTTACTGGTACCTGCTCGAGCAAATCGATGAACAATGGGAGGACAGCACTACAGTGCTACTACAGAAAAAAATGAAAGCAGTTAAGGTGGGCTACAAAAGTGGGGATGCTGAACGTGAATGAGATTTGTTGTTTCATGAAAAATATATTTTAAAAAAGGACTCTGCCAAGGTGGATCTGAGCAGGCAAAAGAGCATTCCAAAGAGGAAAAAGCAGCAAGTACCAAGGCCCTGCCTGGCAAACTGGGCAATTTCTATCTGTGTTCTACATTGGACATGGTATCACCCTCCATTTCCAACACTTGCACTACACCTGAACTCTTCTGGATTTTCACTATGATAGGAAGTAGTGGTGAAAAGTTCAAAAAACAAAGAAATGAAATAATTACCCTTCCCCATATATACACTAAAAACTTTATTACCAAATGCCAATCAATAAAAGTCTGCATAAATCATGGCAGCCACACAACAGAACAGTAGCACTGTAGCACTGTCCTCCATAGTCAATATGACAAAAAAACAGTAACAAGTCTCACAACGGAGACATTACTGGTGCCTGCTCGAGCAAAACAGAATAGTATCTGGTACAAATTTGGTTCATCATGACTCAACTGTATACTTTCAATCCCCCTATTTTCTCCATTCACTGGTTAATCATGTCTCATGAGTTCCAGAATTCGAGAGATACAAGCCCTGTAATGAATGCCTCCACTCATATTTTATATAGTTTGGACATTAATTTACACAACTTGACTATCTAAATCCATCAGAAAACCATTCTCCCATTCTAACGGGGAGACACTTCCCATTCCCCACTTTCTCGGACAATTATCTCGGGTTTTAAAGTCAGCTCAACAGCAGTTTCCTTATTAGGGTTTTCCCGAACTTTGCCAGTTGCTACCTTCTCCCGGTACATCACAGCATCACACACCTCTCCCAATACTGAAGCGCACTTTACACCACACCAGGACGGTTCTTCGCCTAACTAAACCCCGAGCTCTCCTAGATGGTTGCAAGTGGAGTTCGTCCATCCCTCTTTGCAGTCCCCGCGCTCCTAGCATAGCGTCTTCTGGGATAATCGTTATTTTTCTGATGGGCTGGGAACGACCTCTCGGCTAAGTAAATGGCATGCCAAGGGTTTTGACTTCTTAGACTTTCACCCAGAAAAGCACCTGCCTAACTTGGGCGGGGCCGTGGCTGGCAGGCCGGTGGAGAATCCGGAGACCCACTCTCGGCACACAGGTCCAGGCGTGGGCGCACTCCGGCCGAAGCCAGGGCTCCGAGTGCGGCTCGCGCCTCCGCCGGCCTCAAGAGAGCGGGGTGAAGAGGGCGGCTCTCCGCGGCGGGGCTTGAACTGGCGGGCGGCGGCTCTCACCTTCCCGTTGGTGGGAGGCTCCTGGATGTAGATGTTGCTCATGCCGGTCAGCCGGGAGTGGGCGGCCAGTCGCCGGCGCCGCCCGCGCGGGACACGCTCCCGAGGCCGGGTCGCAGCGAGCGCGCGCGGGCGTCCCGCGGGCAGCGGCGGCCGACGCTTCCCTAAGGCCGCCCGGGCGCCGCCGCGCCGCCCCGGACCGCCTCACCGCTGAGTCCGAGGGGGGACCCCGCTCCCCGTGGGGGCGAGGACTGACCAGCGTGCTCCGCGCGCGGACTCGGCCGACGAGGGCCCGCGCCTGAGAAGCGCTCGCACGTCGCCGGCGTCGGCTCCGCGGCCCCGCGCACGCCCCGCCCCCGCGCCCCCGCGAAGCCGGCGGAGTGGTTCGGCCCGCGCGTGCGGCGCCAGCGCCTCCCCGCCGGAAACGGCGCCGCGGCCTCGGGGTTCCCGCGCGTCCGCCCGGGCCGCCCCCGAGCCGCCGCGGCGCGCGTGGGAGGAAGGGGCCGCGCTCCGGAGCACCGTCCTCGCGGCGGGCGGCGAGCGCCCCGAAGCCGGGGCCCTGCGACCCCCGCCCCTTTCCCGGCGCCATGGCAGTCCCAGGTGCAGACAACGGCAGGGCCGCCGGGCCGGCGAGGGAGGGCGCGGGGCGGCTGGGTTCGAGCGCTCGGGGTGGCCAGTCGCGGCCTGGGGGGCGGGCGTCTGGGCTCTCGGGCTCCTGGGGCTTCCGTGGGGAAGGTCGGCGCTCGAGCAATAAGCGGAGGGAGAGGAAGGGCCGCCTCTCCGCCCCGCTCCCCGGCCCCCGCGCCCAGCCGCGATCCCGGCGAGGCTGGGACGCGGATCCAGACGGCGGAGGAAGCGGGGCGGCGTGTTGCCGACCGGGGGGTGCGAAGCCGACAGATACAGAACAAAACCCTGACTCGGACTTTGTGACGGATGCGAGGCGGGACCTCTCGGCGGGGCCCAGGAGCGCTCGAGGGGTTGCGGCCCTGCAGAGTCGCGGGGACGAGGTGGGCGTCTGCACTGCCACTTCTCGCCCTCTCTGTGTGTGGCACTTGGCCGTGTGGCCCCGGACCGTCGCTCGCGTTGCCCTTCCTGGACCTCAGTTTCCGCGTCTGTGTACGGAATGAGCTTGGTTGATTTCCTTGACTCGTCACGGTTCTCAGAGCCTGTGCTCAGGCAGTTCCGCCTACTACACAGTGACTTTTGGGAAGTAAGGAAGGGAAGTAAGCGCTTTGTCGATTTCCAGCCCACAGTTGCCTGGGAGGGATGGGACCAGGGATGGTGCCAGGGGAGTTGGGGGGGGGGGGGGAGAGGAAGGGAGGGGGCGCTGTTTAAAACCAGCTTTGCCATGTGGCAGGAGATGGTTTGGGAAGTAGATACACCTCAGCCCCTGCAGCTTAAGAGAGCCCCGAAGCACTTAAAACGGAGACATGACTCAAAGCGGTGCCTTTACTCTTCAGATGGCCCAACCTTATTTTAACCTACCTTTCCCAAGTGGTTGTTACCACATTATTCTGCAGGAGCTCTTTCTGAACAGATAGCCATTACAGGAAGATTGTCCTGCGTTTGGGGTAGGAGCACAGATAGGCTCTTGAGCCGGGAAAGATACACTGATCCATACAAATGATCCTTTCAAGTGCTACTGAGGACCAAGCATTGGGAATACAATGGTGTGTATAACAGTAGTCGCTCTTCACGCAGGACGTAGACTTTAGCAATGAAATTACCAGAAAACAGACAAGTGTAATTCAGGGGGGAAAAAAACAAGCCTTTAGGAGCACAGAGCAAAGGACATCTAAGGGAAAAGGAAGAGTTTTCCAGCAAATGTGTGGTTTAGAAAGAGTCCTGAAGAATTGCAGAGGGGTGGAATGCTAGAAAGGGGAGTTACTGCCAGAGGAATTGGTTATGTAAAAGAAGTGTGTAGGAATTCCTATGTGTAACTGAATTGGGTATGTAAAGGAAGAGAAAATGTATGTGAGAAGAAATGAAAGGTGTTTGGCCTGGATGAAACCCAGAATCCAAGTGCAGGGAAAGTGAGAAATAACTAGAGAGGTAAAAGTAGCCAATCCACATTATGAAGGTATTATATGTCTGATGTACCTGACCCTGTTTCAGGCGTTGTTGTTTATACCAGCTATGCCCACACTGTGAGATAGACACTAACACTTTGACTTTTACAGTTGAGAATGCTGAGGGCCAGAGAAATCAAGTAACTTTTCTATTATAAGAACTAGTGACAGCTCTAACTCCTCTAGATCTATTCACTCATCCATTTTGTTATCTTAAGGTAGAATTTATAAGGTAGTTTCCAGCTCTTAAGTGGCCTGTAAGCCATGGCAAAGAGTTGGGATGTTTTCCCTAAAATCATAGGAAGCTCCTTGAGGGGGTCTTTATGATTCACAGTATGGAAAAATACACGTCACTTTATGATTACAAAATATGTATCACATTATGACTGCACAGTAGGTTGAAAGGAAACTGGTTTTGAGAAAAGTCAGCAATTAGGAGGAATTTTGATGATTTCGATACCTCATTATGGCCACATTAGTCCAGGAGAGAAACATTACTTTGGAAGTATATTTGTGTGGGTTAATACCAAAACCACTCAGGAATCCATAATTCAGTGTAGATGGGTACGAATACAAATGAGGTGTACCTGGGTTTACTTTTCAGAAGTTGGGTGGGCATTTACTATTACAGGCCACTTATAAGAAGGAGCAGGTTTTAGGAGAAGAGTGATTTCAGTCTGCAGCTGGGCTGACCTATATAATCAGACACAATGGGAAATGCCTAATAGAATGAGATAAGCCAGAATCAGAAACATTTGGTATGTTAGCCACACGTCTAATAGGAATTAAGTCCTAGCGTTAGATTATTTTGCTTGTGAGGAAATTGTACAGTGCGAAGGAAAAGTTTAATTGGTTGAAGCCTGAAGAATATCAGTGTGTAAGAAACCAGCAGAGAAAGGCCAGTCACCTTTCAGCCCTTTTCTTTGAAGTACAGCTGCATCCAAAGTTGACCAGCTGCTTCTGCTAATTTCATTACTTGAGCAAAGCGTTTTGAGCACCTATTGCAGTAGGCACGCTCGAGCAGCCTCTATCATCTGAGACCATATGACCCTCTGTGTACCCCCAGGATAGTCATAAAGGGGCACAAGTGGAAATTGTGTAATGGAGGCCAGACCTTGAGATAGGGAGCCAACCAGTAAGATTGTGGGCCACAGGAAGGAAACATGCTGAGAAACGCTCCTCCAGGGGACCCTGTCACTGTGCTGCGTGAAACTAAGTTTAGTTATAATAATGTGCTACTTTGCTGTACCATATTTGATAGGGTTCAAATATGGTTTGAACCATGGTAACACCTACAAGGGCGATTAGAGGCCGCCCCAGAAGCCTCTATCCCTCTCAGAGAGCCTGGCAAGCTACCAAGAGTATTCCGCCCGCACTGCAGAGCCTCGCAAGCTATCTGTTGTGTATTCAATATGGATAAGGATAAAGTGATTTTTTTTTCAAAAGCAAGTTTCTTTTTTTTGTTTTGTTTTTTTGTTTTTCCAAAAATTTTTGGAAAAAATTTTTATTAGTGAAACACCACAAGGTACAGTTGTAGACTTACAAATTTCTGTGCTTGGGTTTCAGTTATACAATGATCGAATACCCATCCCTCCACCAGTGTCCATTCTCCACCACCACCAGTCCCAGTAACCCTCTTACCCCCCTTCCCTCCATCCCGCATCCCACCCTACCACTGTGGCAGGGCATTCCCTTTTGTTATCTCTCTCCTTTTGAGTGCTGTGGTTTGCAAAAGAGATATTGAGTGGCAATCTTGTTCAGACTATAGTCTACTTTCATCACGCATTTCCCATCCTGAGAGGAACCTCCCAACACCCTTTATTTGGTACTCCCTTCTCTATCTGAGCTGCCTTTTCCCCTAGCGTGTGCGGTTGTCCTCAAAGCCATGGAGTAATCCGCCTGGTACTTATCTCGGCTATTCTTGGGGTGTTAGTCTCCTATTTTGTTACTTTATGTTACCCAGATGAATGCAATCTTTCTATGTCTATCTCTCTCTTTCTGACTCATTTCACTTAGCATGATACTTTCCATGTAGTAGCACTTGTATGTAAATTTCATGACTTCATCCTTTCTGACAGATACATAGTATTCCACTGTGTAGATGTACCAAAGCTTCTTTAACCAGTCATCTGTTCTTGGGCACTCAGGTTTTTTTCCAGATTCTAGCAATTGTAAACAGTGCAGCAATGAACAGACAACTGCAGATGTCGCTTTGACTATACTTTTTTGCCTCTCCAGGGTATATTTTCAGGAATTGCTGGGTCAAATAGGAGCTCAATTTCTGGTTTTTTGAGAATCGTCCATACTGTTTTCCAGAAGGGCTGAACCAGTCGGCATTCCCACCAGCAGTGAAGGAGGGCCCTTTCTCTCCACATCCGCACCAGCTCTGGTTGCTTTTGTTCTTGTGGATGTGGGCCAGTCTCTGTGGTGTGAAATGATATCTCATTGTTGTTTTGATCTGCATCTCCCTGATGATTAATGATGTAGAGCATTTTCTCATGTGTCTTTTAGCCATTCGAATTTCATCTTTGATGAAGTTTCTGTTCATTTCGTCGCCCCATTTTCTGCTAGGGTTGGATGTTTTCTTCTTGTGGAGTTCAACCAGTACTTTATACATCCTTGTCAACCCCTTGTCGGATGTGTATTCGGTGAATATCCTTTCCCATTCTGTAGACTGTCTTTATATTTTGGTCATTGTTTCTTTTGAGGTGCAGAAGCTTCTTAGTTTAATATAGTCCCATTTGTCTATCTCTGTTTTCACTTGCTTAGCCAGTGGCGTGACATCTTTGAAGACACCATTAGCTTCAATATCATGGAGGGTTTTGCCGACTTTGTCTTCAATATACCTTATGGATTCCGGTCTGATGTTGAGATCTTTAATCCATTTTGATCTTTTGTACATGGTGTTAGGCAGAGATCTGAGCCCATTTTTTTGCATGTAGCTGTTCAGTTTTGCCAGCACCATTTGTTAAAAAGGCTTTCCTTACTCCACTTCACATTTCTTGCTCCTTTATCAAAGATTAGGTGATCATATGTTTGGGGGGAGATGTCAGTATAGTCAACTCTGTTCCATTCGTCTGCTGTTCTGCCTTTGTTCCAGTACCATGCTGTTTTAATTATTACTTCTTTGTAGTAGAGTTTGAAGTTAGGGAGGTTGATTCCTCCCATTTTCTTTTTAAAAGCAAGTTTCTTAAGGAAAATTTAAACCTATATAGCCCTGAGGCAGCGCATATTAGATAGTGCAATAACACCTCCTATTCCAAAATATGCATCTAGTGAAAGTTCACCTCAGATTTCAAGAACTTTTTCTTTTAGGATGCTTTTTGGATAAACCGTACTTAAGTGCAAATAACTGACATTATTATGCATTCCTAAACTTATTTTATGTTTTATAACTCATACGTACACATCGTTTCTATAGCTTGATGTTTATGAATTTATCCATAGTTAGATTTTTATCAACAGAAACCTACTGAAATATCTTGAAAGCAAACACATTATTTTGTCATAGTACATATGTATATACTGTTTGTTTTACAAAATCATACTCCTAAATGACTGCAGTGACATAGTCAGGTGGTCTCCAATTTAAATAGCACGCAGCAATCCTTATTAGACTGCAGGGTGGGGAATTATTTGTTCCTTGAAAAATATAACTTGCTTAATAATTGATAGGTAAAGGTAAAGGTAAAGGCCCTCCCGTTGATCGTCGATTTGCTCGAGCGGGCCCAGTAACGTCTCCATTGGAGACCTTGTTGTTACTGTGTCTGGCATATCGAATACTCTCGGTAGCTTGCCGGGCTCTCCGAGAGGGGCGGAGAAATCGAACTCGGGTCGGCCATGTTGGCCGCTTGTAAGGCGAACGCCCTACCCGCTGTGCTATCGCTCCAGCCAATTATATATCAATAATTGATATAGAAACAAAATATGTATAAATGTAAGTAAATTGTATGAAAATGTGTTTGCAGTGACCTAATTACTACTTGGGATAAATGTAACAATTGATAAATTATTATACCTAATACTCTTATTTATGTCTAACAAAATGTCACTATTACCAAGCTCAATTTCTATTAGTAGATTTATTTAATCCATTAGTCTAACTTCCAGGAAGTAAATCATTTGAGACAAAGTGATTTTTTTTTTTTTTGCTTTTTGGGTCACACCCGGCGTTGCACAGGGGGTTACTCCTGACTCTGCACTCAGGAGTTACTCCTGGCAGTACTCAGGGGACCACATGGGATGCTGGGATTTGAACCTGGGTCGGCCGCGTGCAAAGGCAAACGCCCTACCCACTGTGCTATTGTTCCAGCCCCCCAAAGTGATTTTTTTAAAGCCCTCTTTAAAACTCCTTTAACTTAGACCAGATATACTAACCTTCTTTCAATTCAAAATAAGGCTTCAGCACATAATAATCTTAAATTGTACCATTAAACTGGATGGAAAGCAGAGATAATCTGTTTGAACTCAATAAAAAAACTGAGATAATAGGCATGAGCCACTGTAAAAGTACAATGCAGGTGCCATTAGAAAATACAGATACCAAAAACACTAAAATAACTTTTTGTTGATTGATCCAAAGAGTATTAAAAGAAAATAGGGCTGCATCAGAAGCCTTTGAGATAATCATCAAGAATCATCAAAAAAGACAAGTATTATTCTATGCTCTTTTCTTTTTAGGTATTACGGTTGTATAGATCCATCAAAAGATTTTTTTTTTATGGCCCTGCTAACAGTTATCACCAGATATGGCTGTAAAGTGATGAGGCTGATTTCTATAAATGTAAACGTTACCTCTTTTATTATTACTATTATTATTATTATATTATTATTATTATTATTAACTTGGGTTGCAGCAATAGCACAGTGGTAGGGCATTTGCCTCGCGCGCAGCCGACCTAGCCAAACCGGGTTTGATTCCTCTGCCCCTCTCAAAGAGCCCGGCAAGCTACCCATGACGTATTCAATATGCCAAACACAGTAACAACAAGTCTCACAATGGAGACGTTACTGGGCCCGCTCAAGAAAATCGACGATCAACGGGAGGACCGTGACTGTGATTATTGACTTTAGCTGCTTTAATACATGTGTTATTTAAGCTTCTACCATTACATAATCAACCCAACGAAACATATATTCTTGTCAGGAACATCATAACTCTTAATTTTTATTTAAGAATTGACACGGAAACACAAGTTTCAATGGAGTTAGCTTTCTTTTGGAAACTGATTTTCCACTCAGAGTTGTTGAAATCAGTGGTTGGCACAAAAACTGTTTTGTTCCTCTCCAGCAAAATTTTTAATGCCAAGATAGGGAATTATCTATAGCCAAATTAGCATTCCATCTGGCATACCAAAGTGAATCAGATTCTTAAAGCACATTACATAGCATCTGAGAAATAGAATAGTTCTAAATTGCAGTATACCATTTTTTATCTTTTTATTCCTAAACTATTCTGAAGATAATTTGTCTCTAGTCTGTGCAAACATTGTGCTGAAATAGCTTTTTTTAATTATGTCTCTGATCTTGGTATTCCTGGGAGGGAAGAATTTATTAATTCATGTCTGTTAATTGTGAATTCTCTTGAAGATACTTAGTAATTCCAAGGCTGTTTTATTTATGTATTTATTTGGTGTCTTTAAGAAGGAGTGGATGACTGTGCTTTCTCTTCCTTGTGTTATAATGGGAAAGCTCCTCATCTCTGAAAGAATGCAGTGCATAATTCTTGTTATGATCTGATAAATCACTCTTGCTACCCTCCACCTCCAATGCATTGTGCAGTCTCTGACTTGACCTAGAATTCCCAGAATCTCTCAAGTTGTTTCCTGCACCACCAGCAGTGATTACCTGAGCACAGGGCCCAAGAGTAAGCTCTGGGCACTACCAGATGTGGCCCCCAAACAAAATTAAAAGAAATTCAGTGTTTTTACCTCATTTAACTTTGGGCTTACCTAGAATCTTTCACCATTTCTTCTTTCCTATTTTCATTTTGAAGTGAGAATGCGGTGTTTCACAATTACTGTTTTGTTTGTTTGTTTTTTCTTTTTGGGTCACAACCGGCAATGCACAGGGGTTGCTCAGGAATTACTCCTGGTGGTGCTCAGGGGACCATATGGGATGCTGGGAATTTAACCCGGGTCAGCCACATGCAAGGCAAATGCCCTACCCACTGTACTGTCGCTCCAGCCCCCCACCATTACTGTATTTTGCAAGTAAATACTACTAAATACTACTACTTTTTTTTTAAGTGTAGGAATACTGCTATTTATTCAACCACTGATTAAGTGACTGAAGCAGACATGAACTCCATACACAGAACTTCTTGAATTCAGAGCTGAAAAGGAATTTGCCCCAGTGTAAACCGTATCCTTGGTCAGGACTCACCCATATTTTAGCAATGAGATTAAGATGTGGTTTTGGAGGTACAATCATGAGTTGAGGTCCTTTAATCTCTGGAGCTATTAAATTAGAATGAATGAACCTTGCATGTGTAAAGTATATTAATTTGGGGATCCTGGGAGGAACGCTATAGACTCTCCTCCAAACTATGCTGAAACCAAATCTGCATTGTGATCGTATCGGGAGATGGGGTATTAAGCGGAATTTAGGTCTTGAGAATGGAGCCATCTGTGAACGAAATTAATGCTTTCAGCACTTGGGATCCTAAGACACCCCTTCAGCCTTTCTCCCATGTGAGGACTGAATGAGAAGATCATGAGATCTGTGAACCAGGAAATGAGTTATTACCAGACACTGAGTCTGCTCGTGCCTTGATCTTTGACTTCAGACCTACCTCCAGAACTGTGGAAAATAAGTGCTAATTGAAAAAAGAAGATATTCCAGCATTGGCTCATATGAAGGAACTCATCCGTTCATGAGGGTGGCTTTAATGACCCTTTTCCCTAGCACTGGTCCATGTGACCCCCCCCCAACAACAGTTTAAAACAGAAGAATTTTTTTTAAAACATTTTGAAACAAATGGCTTTCTTAGCCTTTCCATATGATATATTTTTTTTTGTTTTTATTTGTTTATATGTCTACTAAAACGTTACTCAATTGTATTTCAGGTTGCAACAAAGACAGTGTTCGAGCAGGCTGTAAAAAGTGTGGCTACCGTAAGTACACTAAAACATAATATTTTGTTCAGGAAATCATTGCCTTTTGGGTGATATTATTTTAGGGTCCTTTTCCTGTATAGTTTCCTTATTTATTTAGCTCAGGCTTCCACGTGATTTGGAAATTTCTCTGTAGCACTAATTATGTGCTTCTCTTTGTTGCTGTATGCTCAGTGACAGGCTATGTGTCTACTGACTAGCATAGGTCATGTAATACAAGTGGATTAATTGACATAGGAGTTAAATGAGTTAAAGGAAGTTTTACTTTTTTGTTTTGTGGGCTACACTCAGCAGTACTCAGAGCTTACTCCTGGCTCTGTGCTCAGGGTTCACTCCTGAAAGTGCTCAGGAGACTGCTTGTGGTACTGGGGATTGAGCTAGGGTCAGCTGCGTGCAAGGCAAGAGCCTTAGCCTCTATACTACATATATAGCTTCCTGTACTCCTTATTTGAGATACTGGATAAAGAGAGAATGCAATGCAAACTATGAAAGTGTTCTCATTTCTTGAACTTATTTATTATATAGATACCATTGGTCTCAGAATTTCTGCTTATTATTAAAAACTTGATTTAAGAATCATTGCCCTCTTATATGATTAATGGACTCAAATGGAAAGTAAGCTTAAGCATGCATGTATAATTCTGCACTCTAATTTTTAATTGGGTTCTAAAACAAATTACCATTTTCTAAGTAAAGCCCATGCACATGTGCCTGAATTGTTGTTACTACTTTAATTTTTAAAGGATTTTGTTTTGTTTTGTTTTTGAAACACTAAAGATAAACTTAAAAACTTTTTTCTTCATGGAGCCAGAGAGAAAAAATATAAGGGTAAAGTGCTTGTCTACATATGTTCTCTCCCTGGCCCCACATTGAGTCTTCAAAGCACCATCAGAAGCAATCCCTGATCAAAGAACCAAAAACATACCCTGAGAACTCCTAAGAGTGCCTGCTTGCCAATAAATAAATAAATAAAATGAAAAAATTAACAAAGATAAGAACACATGATAACAGACTACACTGGGCATAAGTCTCCACTGAAAAGGCTTAGAATAAAAGTATGCTGAAGGGCTGGAGAGATGGTACAGTGATTAGGGTGCTTACCTTCACATGCCCAGCCAACTTTGATCCCCAACACCCCATATGGTCTCCTGAGCCCTGCCAGAGCACAGGGCGAGCATTAACCACTGGGCACATCTGAGTGTGCCTTCCTCCCCATAGCCCTCCCTGCCAAAATAAGAATTTTAATTTTGATGAAGTCCCGTGTTTGTTTATTTGTTTTGTTTTGGGGCTACACTCACCAGTGCTCAGAGTTTAGTCCTGTATTTGTTCTTAGGGATCATTCCTACAAGTGCGCAGGAGACTGTTTTGTGGTGCTTGAGATTGAGCTGGCATCTGCTGCTTGCGAGGGAAGATCTTAGCCTCTGTGCTATCTCCCTGGCTCTAATTTTTAATTTTTTTCTCTTGTGCTATTTTACATCTAAGAATTAACACTTATGAAATCTTTCCCTGATGATTTCTTCTAAGAGTTTCATGATTTTTGTTTCATTTGGGTCCTTCTTTGTATAAGATACAAGGTGAAAGACCTCACTTTATTCCTTTGTATATGCAAATCTAGTTGGCCCAGCAATCTCTGTTGAAGAGATTATTCTTTCCCCTTGGAGTGGACCTGACACTTGTCCAAAATGAATTAGTCATGGTATCAGTGACGTGTTACAGCTGGTAAGGTGCTTGCCTTTAAGTGGCTAACCTGAGTTAAATTTCTGGCAAGCCCGCCAGAAGTGATCCCTGAGCACTGCCAACACCTCGCCCCAAATCAATTAATTGGACATGTTTGAATTTCCTGCTGAATTCTTAATTCTGTTCTATAAGTCTGTACATCTGTCCTAAATACTACCCTGTTTTGATTGTTATTGCTATTGGAAATTTATAATGAAGTGTGAGACTTCAGCCTTGGTTCATTTTCAGTTCTTTTTTTAAATCAATTTGGCACAACTTTCTATGAATCTGAGCATTCGTGAAAAATGAAAAGCTATGGGGTGTTGGTCAGGGGTGACCAGGGCACTGGTGGATTCCAAGCAGCACTTTGGAGCCTGATAGGCCTCCTCTCCCAGTAATACTTGGCCAGATGGAGAAGAAAAGTCAGTGCCTGGACTTGATAATTGTGATACTGTTCAGGCCACTGGTGCTTAGATCCATTGCTGAGCTACAACTGGTAGTGTTCAGAGTTCATGTGGTACGAGGGTTTGAGCCTAGTTCCCTGCTTAAACAAAGCATTCGCCCCTGACTGCTAAGCTATCTCCTGCATTGGAAGTGCATCACTTTTGCTTTATTTCCCTCTTTATGTCACTTTTGATAAGCAGCCTCAAAAATGTTGTAGGTTACAGCGTCTCTGTATGTCTATGTCAGATCTCTACATTCTAATTAACTAAGAATTTTGTGCTTGTTGTGTCCGTAGATTCTATATTAAAAAAAAAAAAGCCACATGAACTGTAATGTTGAATACAATCGTTTTCTCAAGTTTCTTACTTATTCCCTAATAAAAATAAAACTATTCGTTGCTCACCAATAACTTGTCTTGTTATCAGTTTAATGTCAGCTTCACTGAAGAAAAGTTAAAGTGGATATGGAATAGAGCCTGCAGCTAATAACCTCGTAAATAATTCATTGTGATGTGAGATGTTGGGTGAAAAACAAGCTTAAGCACAGTAAAATATATCATCAGTAGTTCTGATCAAAGTGGCAAACTGCACATAAATAGAAAGCCCTCCCTTCTGATCTAAACACAAAGATGCTGGAGAAAAATAGAGCAATTGCATCAAAAATAGCCCAGATCAAAAGAATGAAAGGGAAAACCCCAGATATTGGGAGTGAAAAGAAGCTCAAAGCCAGATGGACAGTGGTAGCTAGAGACAGACCTTCTGGTTACTTTCATGGGCTATTGAGTGCCTGATCCCTGTGGAATGGCAGCCTGGCTGGATGGGAGCCTCTTGTTTAAATTCAGACTCCTGAAAAAAGTACGTAAAATAGGAATTTGAAAAATTACATGATTACATAGGGAAAGTGGCAAGAAAACTTAACATGCATTTTAGTCCTTATAAAGGACTAAAGGAATAAATAAGCATTGGCAACCCAATTAACATATACTAAGAGATGAATTTACACTACTTCCAGTGAAACAGGAAAAAAGTTTTCCCAAGCTGAGAAATTAACATTAAAAATTTGATTGGTATCAAATTCAACCAAGAAACTAAGTTCACTGACATGTCATTATTAAGCTACAGAGAAAACTAAAAACTACAGAAATATATGATGGTGGGGAAAAAGAACAGAGATGTTAAGTATTACCATCCAACTTTTACCCACAAGAATGGCAATTAGAGCAATTTTATTGTCAGACTTGTAAGGCAAAGAACAGTACATGATAAAGTGGGACTCAAGGAAAATCAATCAAGAAGATAAAAACGATAATCCTCTTATTTATTTATTTATTTATTTTACTGAATCACCGTGAGATACGGTAACAAAACTTTCATAATAGGGTTTCAGTCATACAATGTTCCAACACGCATCTCTCCACCAGTGTATATTTCCCACCACCAGTATCGCCTTATCCCTCCTGCCACCCCTCCCCCCAGCCTGCCTCTATGGCAGGCACCCTCTCCCTCTCCCCTTGTAGACATTATGGTTTGCAATACTGATACTGAAAGGCTATCATATTTGGCACCAATGAAGAGACACAGAGTGGCAGGAAATTGAACCCAACATTCTGCTGCCTGCAAGAAACACATCTGAACAGTCAGAGCAAACACAGACTCAAAAGGATAGAAAACAATTCTACAAGCAAACAACTCCCTCAGAAAAGCTTGAGTGGCCATACTAGAATCAGACCACATAGATTTCAGACTGAAGAGGTTATAAGAGACAGTGAAGGTCATTTCTTAATGATCAAAGGATCTGTACATAAAAAAGAACTCACACTCCTAAATGTATGTGCACCTACTGAGAGATCAGCAAAATATTTTGAAAAAGACATTGATAGCAACACAATAATAGTTGGAGATTTCAACACCTCTATCAGCTGTCATAGATCAACCAGACTAAAGCTCAGCAAGGACATACTTTATTTGCAGGAAGAAATGGAAGAGAAAGGTTTAGTAGGTATATTTAGGACATTTTATCCCCCCAAGAACTGAATACACATTCTTCTCCAATGCACATGTGACATTCTCCAAGATAGAATACATGCTGGGCCACAAAACATACCTCCATAAAATTAAGAGGATAGAAATTATATCAACGATCTTTTCAGACCATGATGCACTGAAAATAGAAGTGAATCACACACAGAAACAGAGAATCAAATCAAACACCTAGATTAAACAGTTCACTATTTAACAACCAGTGGCTTAGAGAGGAAATCAAAAGATTCCTGGAAACAAATGAGAATGAAGACACGAGTTACCAGAACTTATAAGATATGGAAAAAGCAGTTTGAAGAGAAAAATTTATAGCTCTGCAAGCATTCCTCAGGAAGGAAAAGTGAACCCACATAAGTAATTCAACCTCACAACTTAAGATATTAGAAAATGACCAACAAAAGGAGCCCAGACTAGACAGGAGGAAGGAGATAATAAAACTTAGAGCAAAAATTAGCGCTCTGGAAGTCCAAAAAACAATCCAAAAGATCAATTGAAACCAAAGGCTGATTGTTAGAGAAAATAAACAAGACTAATAAACCACTAGCAAGGCTCACAAAGAAAAAGAGAGAACCCTAATAAATAGAATCAGAAATAAAAGAGGGGACATCCCAACAGAAACCACAGAAATTCAAAGGATCATCAGAGATTATTTTGAGAATATTTATGCCACAAAACAAGAGAACGTTGAAGAAATGGATAAATTCCAGGACTCCTATAATCTCTCAAGGCTGACCCAAGAAGATTTGGGACACCTGAACAGAAATATCACTATCGAGGAAATTGAAATAATAATCAGAAGTCTCCCCAAAAACAAAAGCCCTGACCCAGATAAAATGATAATCTTTATGTACTTATATAATCTCAAAATATATATAACAATAGCTGTATTGCAAGAAGAAAATGACAGATCTGCAATAATAAAGCTATTTAAAAATGAAACCATCAGAAGTTATCAGATAACAAACTAATATGGGAAGACATATATAACTGTAATAGAGTCCTTTTCAACAAATAACTATATATGTATGTATATATATTTAAATATATACCAAAATTTGTTTTTGTCATGGGTTTTTTTGGTTTTTGTTCTTTGTTTCGGGGTGTTCTTGTGTGTTTGTTTATATTTTGTTTTGTTTTGTTTTGGGCCATACCCAAAAATACTCAGGGCTTACTCCGAGGTCTGCATTTAGGTTTCTTTCCAGACTGTGCCAGGGATAGAACCAGCAACTTACATGCTATCTCTCTGTCCCTTGGTTTTTAAAGGGGAAAAAAAAATAAAATTTAGTAGTAGAAGGAATGAATGTTTTTATACAACAGAACATTACTGATCAGAAAAATGAGATAATTTAATCCTTTTGTGTTAGCATAGATAAATTGCAAAAACATAACAATTAATGGCAAAACAGGTTGCTGAATAATAGCCAATTTTTATTTTTTGATAAAAAGCAGTAATACATGGGGGTATGGTGCCACCAGCAGGTCAATCTGGTCCTGTGAGGCGAGTGCATCAGCAGCCTGATGGCACTATCAGACTTTCAGATACCCCAAAATTGCTGCTGCGCCTTTGGCCAGACCCCAAAAACTTGGGGCCAAGTTTACCAAGAAAGTAAACGGCCAAAAGTTAGGTATGTGGGAAACACACCCACAAACCACCTCCAGCTCAGCTATTTAATTGGAGGCATGGCCTCTCTGGTTCCTGATCGAACTGCTTAATGGCCATGATCCCAGAGACTGAGAAACAAATCTCGAAACCCAGCGGCTTTTGGCAGAAATGCGTCCAATCCCTGCAGTAGGTTATCAGTGCTGGGCCAACCCAGGTGGGATGGGAATAGCTTTTCTGCCTTGGCCTGTTCCCCCTGGTGGCCCGGTGGCCGCCATCCTCCAGAGGCCACTGGACAATCAGGCTTGGGCCCACAGTGACGAGACATGTTGGGCCTCACGGGATGGGGGTGGAGCCGGTCCTGTCCTCCCCACCCCAACGAGACCCCAAGTCATCGCCCACGAACGGCCTTTCTGGCTCCTAATTAAGCTGCTTAATGGCCATGATCCCAGAGACTCAGGAGCAAATCTCGGAACCCAGCAGCTTTTGGCAGAAATCCCTCCAGACTTAAGTGTTAAAATTTCGGAATTTCAAAATCGCACAGCCACTACTGCAGCCATGCGACATCATATGTAATTCATAACCAGCAATAGAAAACAAATTGTCTTCTGTTGCCTTTTCAGCAGATCTGAGTGTTGGGGTAAAATCTCAAATGAAAAAAATGCAGTAATATAACAGTCTGCATAGGAAAGAAAGATTCCAACTTCAATCTGTTTAACTGAACACACAATAATATGAACTTTGGTATTGGTTTTGTTATTTCCTGTATTCTTTGGGTGTTTTGTAATCATTGATGCAATTTTTAATTGAATTCTGAAGTTAGAAACTTGTGGTTTTCTGATAGAGAAAATAGGAGATGTATGATGTCAACATTAAAATTTCAAGTGTTCTTTAGCAAAATATATTTAGTTATATTATTCTGGTACATCTTATTATCTCATTCCTACTTTGGACCAACTGGCAGGCTACCAAATGTAACCTGCCCACACGGCAGAGTCTGACAGACTCCCCGTGGCTACCCAATATGCCAAATACCAGTAACAATGATGGGTCTCATTCTCCTAATTCTGAAAGAGCTTTGAATATGGTGCTTTTTTAAAAATCTCAGGGCTAGGATGAAGGAGACATTACTGGGGCCTGCTCGAGGCAATCGACAAATAACAAGATGGTCGTGATCGTGATAATTTGTTTAGATAAAGACTACCTAATTTCATGAGTTTATTAGTCACACTTAGCAGGAAAGAATATGGGAAAGGTATAAAATTCAGATTTTGAGCATGTTGATATTGTCTTTAGAACATAGATAGAAAGGGAAAATATAGCAGTGCAATACCTTAAAATCTGTAAGAAACAGTCAAGATTTTCGTATTGAATTAGAACTTCTGATAAAGAAAGAATTCTCTCTGAATGTTGTACTCAGGGAAAGTAAACAAAATGAAAAATGTATAATGTAACTATAGTTCTGTCATTCACTTATTTGGTTTTCTTCTTTGTTAGCTGGTCACCTGACTTTTGAATGCCGCAATTTTCTCCGAGTAGACCCTAAAAGGGACATTGTTTTGGATGTCAGTAGCACCAGCAGTGAAGAAAGTGATGAAGAAAATGAAGAACTGAATAAATTGCAAGCCTTACAAGAAAAAAGTAAGACATTTTCCTTCCTCTTTTAAAAAATCTCTAACGGTTCTGTATTTTTATCATGCTTATCTATTATTCTGTTGTATTTATCATCAGGATGGTTTTTGTATTTTATGGAAATGATGCTGGGCAGACAGAGATAAAGAAATAGACTCTGTCAGGTTTTTTTTCCAAAATCAAACAGTAGATCAATTATAGAACCGGGAGGGGAGTTCATATCTGCTTCTACAACCCACCTTTAGTTTGGTTTCATTTCCTAGGATATGTTACATGATCTCAGACTAATTTTATAGTTAGCTATTAGCCCTATTTTGCCGTTTTTCAACTTGTCACCTAACCGCTCTGAACCTCAAGTTATTTCGGGGGTTACATTGTCAGTCACAGTCCTTCTGGTCAGAGAGCAGTATAATTTTGAGAATACAAATGATTGTGAGGCCTGAGGAGAGCAGCAACAGTGAGGTGACCACCACTTCAGCTCCTCAGCTGTTTCCCCTCCGCTTCAGAACCTACTCAGGCCCAGATTAATATAGGAAGTTTCCATGTTATTTACATGAAAAATATCATTTTCATCAGGAAACATCTGATGATGGGAAGGGTGTTGGAACAGTGTATCCATGAAAAGTATAACTAACATGTTAATTAATGTATAATTAAATGAAAGCCCTGGCACCTCAGTAAACATGGTTTAAAAATAATAATAAAAATGCATTTGCATTTTTTCCTTCGCTTTTTTTGGGGTCACACCCAGCGATGCACAGGGGTTACTCCTGGCTCTGCACTCTGCACCCCCCTGGCAGTGCTCAGGGAGACCATATGGGATGCTGGGAATCGAACTTGGGTCGGCAGCGTGCAAGGCAAACACCCTACTCGCTGTGCTATTGCTCCAGCCCCGCATTTGCATTTTTAACCAACCCACTAAGTGATGCCTAGGCATAGTGACAGTGAATAGCTGCTATTTTAAAAGTCTAAACAACAGAGACAAAAATGGAATTTATGATTATTTGATAATCACTAATCTACTGTTTTACTTTTTGTGGAAAAACCAGGTTTGAGCCGCAGTATTAAATTCAGCTCACAGCTTATCAGTTTGACTCTGCAGTCTCAAAGAGTGCTTCAGATGTTCTCCAAAGGCATGTAGCTCTGTGGCCCTGGGCACCCTCTGAGAGAGGGTTCTCTCTTCTACAGAGAAAACTGGAGCTAACGCCATTGTGCAGTGGCTGTATGTTTGATAAGTTTGCAGAACATGTGCTCCAGAAATGTATCTCAGATTCAACTAAAGTAGAGCATATGGGAAGAGAATTTTCTCAATTTTTTTCCCCAAAAAAACAGTGTTCATATTCTTTCTGAAGTTAATGAGGGTTGGGAAGAGCTGAGAGGGCAAGTGCGCGTGTTTTTGGGTTTTTTGTTGTTGTTGTTGTTTTGCTTTTTGGGTCACACCCAGCGATGCACAAGGGTTACTCCTGGCTCTGCGCACAGGAATTACCCCTGGTGGTGCTCAGGGGACCATATGGGATGCTGGGAATCAAACCCGGGTCAGCCGCGTGCAAGGCAAACACCCTACCCACTGTGCTATCACTCCAGCCCCAGTGCATGTGTTTTAGATGTGGAGAACAGAGATTCAATTCCTCCCACCCCAGAAACTGTCAGATAATGACCTCTGAGCATCCCAAGGAAACAAAAAGTAGCCCACAAACACCACTAGATATGGCCACACTGCATCCCCCAACATAAAAGGTAAATAAAATAAAATAAAATAGTAAGTGGAGAAGCTGGGAAGATACTTGCCCTGAACTTCCTGACCCAGATTTCAACCCTGGCCTGGTACATGGTCCCTAAGCTCTGCCCAGAGTGATCTCTGATCACCGAGCCAGGAGTGAGCCCTGAGCACTGTGGGTATGGCCCAAAATAACATAAATGAATAAATAAATAAACGAATAGTTGTTAGCACATTGCCGTGCCACTCCCTTGGTCCCTTGGTTTTAGGGTCCCTAGCGGGTCTCTCTGCCTTTTACAGGCTTGCATTCGTGCTTATTGTCTGAGATTTTCTTAGTAAAACTTCATCGACTTAGTAGAAAAAAAGCATCTTCCATTTTCCCAGATATAGAAGTCAAGTTAATATTTGAGAAATGTGAAAAGTCAGTTTTGTTTTTAAATGAGAGTTTTTTCAACAAATGAGAGTTTTTTAACAAAGTTTTGTCAGAAAGATTGAATATCCCAAATAAAGTGCTAGTGAAAGAAAGAAATAGCAACAAAAAGAAAAAAAAAGATGTGTGTGTGTGTGTATGTGAGAGAGAGAGAGAGAGAGAGAGAGAGAGAGAGAGAGAGAGAGAGAGAGAGGGGGACATCCTTTTTTCAAAGGGTAAAAAATACTTGAAAATTATATTCTGCTATGTTCAGGTTGGTGAATATGTATGTGATTTTGGTATATAAAAAGTCTAAAAGTGTATTTAAAAGCAAATTAGATGGGCTAAAAAGATAAGGCTTTTGCCTTGCACACAGCTGTTCAGTATGCTTAGTATCCCACAGACTGCTATCAATGATCTGAGCACAGAGTCAAGAATAAGGCCTGAGTACTGCCAGGTACCTGGTGCCCCAAGAAAAACAACTTATAGAATAGTTCGTATCCTCTTTGGGATACATTGAGAAAAATATTAAATCTGTTATTATTGTTTCATGTTTCCAGGAGCCTAAGATATTTTCTTTAATTTTGTTATAGATAGAAAATATGTCTGGGGCTAGAAAGATAATATAGCAGGTATTTTAAACTATATGAGATCAGGAAGTATTCTCCAAAACATTGGCATTGACTTATGACAAAAATTAGAAGTACAGGGCCAGAGAGGTAGTACAGCAGATAGGGCATTTAAGTACAGCAGATGAGGGACTTACCTTGATTGCTGCGAGCCCAAGTTCGATCCCTGACATCCCACATCGTCCCTCAAGCCCCAGCAGGAATAATCCCTGAGCATGGAGCTAGGCGTGATCCCTGAGCACCACCATATATGGCCCAAGCCCTCTCTTCCCCAAATTCAGAAGTATAATAGTCGTATTTGCAGTCTTTATAAGAAGCAAATGATATTTTGGAAAGTTTTGATGAGTAAAATATTCAAGAAAGGGTGGACGAATGTAAGAAATGTACAATATCCTGACCAAAGAAATTCACCACTAACAAGAAATTCTAAGTGCATGCCTGTTAATAAATAGATCACAGTGACCTGATTTCTTCTCAACCCACAGGAATAAATGAAGAAGAAGAGAAGAAAAAAGTAAAAAGCAAAGAAAAAATCAAGTTGAAAAAGAAAAGAAAAAGGTATTTTTAATACCATTTTTTTAGAAAAAGCAAGGAAGAATCTAGAATGTATTATACATTTGTAGTTTTTATTTAGTTCATTTTATTTCACTTAATCACTTAACTTCCCATTTGTCGGCGATTTGCTCAAGTGGGCGCCAGTAACGTCTCCATTTGTCCCTGTCGCGTGCTAGTGTAGCCCGATGGCATCTGTTCGCTCCGGGAACATGAAGGGCCTCAAACCGATCGTTCATGATCTTGACGAAGAAGTCTGACCATCTGGAAGGTGGGCGGCCACGCGGTCTTTTGACATCCCGTGGAATCCAGTCGGTAACAGCTCTAGTCCAGCGGTCGTCTTTAAATCTCATTACGTGACCAGCCCATCTGATTTTCGACACCTTGGCAAATGAGATAGCGAGTGAAACGTGATATTCCAAGCATAGCTCTTTCTATTCTTCTTTGGGAGACCTGAATAGCATTCTCATCTTGTTTGCATAGGGCCCAGGTCTCTGAGGCATATGTTAATGCAGGAAGAACAATGGAATCAAAGAGATGTGCCCGGAGCCGGAGGTTCTTCGTCCTCTTAGCTATTTCTTCGACGTTCTTGAAGGCGTTCCAAGCCGCTCTCTTCCTCCTGCGCAGCTCGGGTGCCAGGTCATTTGTCCTGTTGACCTCTCGACCTAGGTACACATAGCTGTTGCATTCGGAGATGGTCGTTCCGTTGAGAGCGAATGGGGCATCAGGAACGAGGCTGTTTCTCATAAACATTGTCTTCGTAAGATTCAGCTGTAGTCCGACCTTTCCACACTCACGGTCAAAGTCGGCCAGCATTTGTGCCGCTTGGCTGATGTTTGGTGTTATTAAAACAATGTCATCAGCAAAGCGGAGGTGGTGTAGTTCCCGACCATCTATCTTCACTCCCATTCCTTCCCATTCCAGTCGTCGCATGATGTTCTCGAGGGTGGCACTGAACAGTTTCGGTGAAATGGTATCACCCTGCTGCACCCCTCTCTTGACATCAACGATCACTTCTTTGTAGAATGGTGAGATCCTGGTAGTGAATCCGCAATACAGCTCACGGAGGATCCTGATGTATTGGGCTTGAATTCCCTGATTGGCTAGGGCTTCAGTGACCGCTTCCGTCTCAACAGAATCAAAGGCCTTCTTTAAATCAATGAACGTTAAACAGAGCGGCATCTTGAACTCCCGAGAAACCTCAATGAGCTTGGTTATCGTGTGGATATGGTCGATGGTGCTGAATCCTTTGCGGAACCCGGCTTGCTCGCATGGTTGTCCTTCATCTAGTGTTCTGCCAGTCCTATTTAGGATGACTCAAGTGAACAACTTGTAGATGACAGACAATAGGCAGATCGGGCGATAGTTGCCAATGTCATGGATGTCTCCCTTCTTGAACAGTAGTACGGTCCTGCTGGTTTTCCATCGGGACGGAACCTTGCATTCAGACAGGTAGCGAGTGAAGAGCCGAGCCAGTGTATTGATGAGTACTGATGGCAGTTTCTTCAGGTGTTCAGGTCTGACCTTGTCTAGGCCAGGTGCTGTTTGTTTCTTTACCGACAAAATGGCGTGTCAGATTTCGGAAGGGAGAACATTGGGAACGACATATCCATCCTGTGGAATTTGGTATGTCGGCAAGTGGACATGGCTATCGAAGAGATTTGAGTAGAAGTCATGGATAATCTTCTCCATTGCCATTCTGGAGGATGTGATGGATCCATCAGGACGTCGGAGGGCAGTCATCTTGGTCTTGTAGTTGGCGAAGGACAGGCGGGCCTTACGAATACTTTTCCCGGCTTCTGCCGCATCTACCAGTTCTTCTGCTCTTCTCTCTTTGAGGTCTTCCTTGATCGCATCTCTGCACTGCTTTGCGAGCTCGGACATTAGCTTGCGGTTGCCTGAGGCATGCACCAAACCACGCTGGCGAATTAGCTCAAGAGTTTTCGAAGATACGCAAATTTTTGTGGCTATCTCTCTCTTGGCGTTCCTCGCACATTCATTGAGGTGCTGAACCAGTCGATCGTATTCCTCGTAGATGTTGTCAACAATGGCATCTTCCCATGTTGCCGCAGTAGTACCAAAGAGTTCCCAGTTGGTGGTCATTCTGGGAGTTCTCTTTTTGAACTTTGCAGCCCTTTCTCCCCGCTCTGTGGCTCTGTGAAGTAGAATTTTGCACGAAGGAGACGGTGGTCCGATCCTGTTCGAAATTTTGGGACAACAGCGACATCAGGCAAAACCGTCGATTGAATATGATGTGGTGGACACTACTTCCACTACCCAGCCGTCGCCACACTCCAGGACGCTTTCCGGACCCACGTGGCAGCTCCGGCCGAGATCCACGCACGACTGAAGACCCACAGAACAAGATAAGCGGAACTCTCTGAGACCTTGGACTCCAGGCTCGGCGGACCCAGGGACAGAGCTTCTCTGCTTGCTCCCACCACCACAGGTGACAAAGGGATTCTAATCAGGGGCCCCACCCTACCCTGCCCTGTCTGCTTCCATAAACCACCCAGGGATCGAATTGCGCACAGGAGACCCACCCTACCCAGATAAATACCCCACTGGCAGACTTCCACTCTCGACACTACTTCCACTACCCAGCCGTCGCCACACTCCAGGATGCTTTTGGGACCCGCGCGACCGCGCGACACATCATAAGACACTAAATACCCATCTTCCGGAATTGTCATACCATATTTGATAGGGTTCAAATATGGTAACACCTACAAGGGTGATTAGAGGTCGCCCCAAAAGCCTCTATCCCTCTCGGAAAGACTGGCAAGCTACCGAGAGTATTCCGCCCGCACGGAAGAGCCTGGCAAGCTATCCGCTGTGTATTCGATATGCCAAAACCAGTAACTACACCTGACCCTGAAGGCTTCACTGACATGGCAGCACTGAGAAGGATGAGAAAGGAGAGGCCGACAAAATCTCAAGGCCGACCTAGGCTGCCACAACGAAGGAAGACAAAAATGATCATCTGTACTTTCAATGCACGTACGCTAGCATCAGATGCATCCATCGAGGACCTGATGGTACAAGCGCGAATGATCAAGTACGACATCATTGGTCTGACCAAGACAAGAAGGCACGAATCTCACCATGCCATTTTCGACACTGGAGAAGAATTGTTCCTCGGAACATGCGATAAAAGAGGTCGGAGGCGTCGGTGTCCTTGTCAACACAAACTTGGCCATGAGCATTGATTCATTCGAATGCCTAACAACCCGAATCGGACGTTTACATTTGAAGAGATGTGGCTCACTGCCTGCAGTTTCTATCTTCGTTGTCTACGCACCAACATCTCATTATGATGAAAGAGAAATCGAGAAGTTCTACATGGAGCTAGAGAAGTTCTATAAAGAAGACCACACCTTCTTCAAGATCATTGTGGGTGATTTTAATGCCAAGATAGGACCGAGAATATCAGCTGAAGAACTTCACATCGGGACCCATGGCCTAGAATGGAACGAACAGGGTGAGAGACTGTCTGAGTTCATCATGTCGACCAAGATCATTCATGGTAACTCACAGTTCCAGAAGGCAGAATCTAAACGATGGACATGGGAGTCTCCCGGTGGACGATTCCACAACGAAATAGACCACATTTTATTTTATATCTAATATTGTTAATTTTACTTACTAATTCTGAACTAGAGTTAATAAATGTTTAGTTAATTTGTTAAAATAACAAAGTTTTTATGTTAGTAATCAAAATTAAAGTTAATATTCAAGTCACTTTACATTTTATTTTTGGAGCAAATCTTGATATAAATAAAAGTCATCCTCTTATATTTTTTAATTATATTCTGCAATCTTAAAGTTTTAGAGTATCAGCTAAGCTTATAAATGGGCATGTAAATTCTTCATATAAATATGTTTGACCTTATATATGTTTGGAGCTAGAATATTTCTTCAAAATACAATTTTGGTGCCTAAGAAAGTAATTAAATCAGTGTACTCTCTTAGGGAAAAAAATTCCTTTGGTGTTTCAGAATCCTCATCAACCACCTTTAAGTGTATCGTCTGACTAGTATGATATTGAATCATTTGCACTGGCATAATGAGGTTGAATGTTTGTAAGAATAGGGAGTTTGTTCATTTCCTAAAAAATTCTAATATATTTGTTTTGTATTTGTTTCATAGTAAGATCAGCCATTCAAGCCATTCCAGCGTGGCTCTCACAGTACTTAGCTAAAGCATGAAATTAAATGACCTTTTATAGGCATGTTTAACAGAAAAGGCAATGACCCCTATTAGAGGTGCTATCCCAGAATTGAACATTGTGCCTTGAAAGTGAAAATCCAGGATGAAAGAGATAGTTCTATGGACTGAACACATACTTTACATGTTAGTGGCCTGTGTTCAATCCCAGAACCATAGGGTCCCTTGAACACTTCAAGAGTGATACCTGAGCACAAAGCCAAGAGTAGACCCTGAGCATTGCCTGGTATGGCCCAGAAAACAAAATAAAATAAATAAATGTGAAAATCCGAGGAGTTGAGATATAGCCAATGGGCTGAAGTGCTTGCTTTGCATGGAAGCGTCTGGTTCAGTCACTGAGCAGTCACCTGGGAGTCATCCCTCGAGCACTGCCATAGGTGACTCCAAAACAAGACCAGAAAAAAAAGTGTAAACCAACACCAAAATTCCAAAGGAAAAAATGTGGGGCAGAGAAGCTCTCAAAATCCACAGGTTAAGCAGAGTTTTTGCTTTTTGTGGTTTTTTTCTCTTTGGGTCACACCTGGTGATGCGTTACTCCTGGCTCTGCACTCAGGAATCACCCCTGATGGTGCTCAGGGTACCATATGGGATGCTGGAAATCGAACCCAGGTTGGCCACATGCAAGGCAAATGCCCTACCTGCTGTACTATTGCTCCAGCCCCAAGCAGAGTTTTTAAAATTGCAAGGCAAATTGAAAAATAGAGTTGAAGAAGAAACAAAAAAATAATGAAAAAAAAAAATTAGTTCAGCGGGGAACTAGGAGGTAGTGTAGGAGATAGGGCCCATGTCTCAAAGGTAGCGGCTCTAACAGTGACTCTGGTTTGGTCACTGGCACTGCATATGTTACCCTGATCACCACCAGACATGCCCCCCATGCCCTCCATGTCCTCCCCCCCACCCCGGGTGGGGGGGACATTAAATAAGCTGCTCAAATGGCTAGAAATCTAAATTGCCAAGGAACAGGGAAGAATGAAGTATTACAGGAGGTACTCAGAGTCCTACACAAGGATGTCAGTCAAGGAACACACTGTACAGTGACACCTCAGTGACTCATGCAGCTGCTTTTCCCCTCCTGAATGTCCGCTACATTTCCTTAAGTCAGGTTTTAACTTCTAATGTTTAAATCACTGCACTGTCTCTTGAGATACAGTTTTGAAAATCCCATTAACTCTGTTCTGGTCACACATACTTGGGGTTTGCACAATATGTAGGGTATATATAACCTTCATTAAGTCCTTTTCTGGAGTTTTTGTTTCTTTTTATAATATTAGGTTTTCTGTAGTGTTTTCCAAATTTAATATTTGAAAATTAAAATATAATAAATCATCTCCATTCATTTATATGGAATATTCATTTTTAAGCACCCTTTCTATAACAAGTGAAAATTATCCTGGAATGTTAAGTGCTCATCAGTACTGCTTTGCATCTAGAGAAATCAAATATTTTATTTGGAAAATCAGAAGAATTAATGAAGAGCATTTCTTTTGCTAATTTTATGATTTTATCTGTTTTATTTGTAATAATTATAACCTGATGCAGTTGTATCCTTTTGTGACTCTTAAAAGAATATGCTAAGAAGCTTTTTTATATAAAAGTGTCCAGTAAATGATGAGGGTTGGCAAGTGCCACTTGCTTTTGCCTTGCCTTATGAGCCTGTAAACAGGATGAGAAACTAAAACTCATAGAAAATAATTTCATCCTTACTGAATTTTTAACTTATAAGTAGAATTGAACAGAATTGTTTATCAGTCTCTGTGGAAAAGTAGCAAAAATCCTGGACTTAGCATTTTAAGGGAATACAAATACAGAAAGCACATCATCTCTTTCTTTGGGTTTGGACCTTCAGCTTGCTCTGAGAATAATTTAGAGCAGTTCATATCCACTTACCAATCATAAATATAAATAACTATCAGCATATCTTTTTGCTCTCAGGTCTTATTCATCCAGTTCCATTGAAGAGGAAACTTCAAAACAAAAGAAACAAAAATATCAGAAGAAAGAAAAGAAGAAAGAAAAAAAGAATAAGTCAAAAAAGGGAAAACATCACAAAAAGGACAAAAAGAAAAGAAAAAAGGAAAGGCATTCTCCCAACCCTAATAGTTCTGAAATTTCAAAAAAGTAACTAAGACTTTGGCCTGTGCCATTCAACTTAAAATTTTGGTTTTGAAAAATTTTTGACCTCCCTTGGAATTTGCTATACAATTACGCTTGGCATAAATCACAGTCTTTCCATATAGATATTTTTTCATAAATGGGACCTTTACCTTCAACAGTATATTTTTCATGTGCTGTGATCATAAGCATTTAATCAGTCTTCTTCGTAAGATTTAGCCATGTCCTAAATTTAGATATTTTGCATACAAAACACATTAATTTGTGTATTCGCATCTCTATGTTTTGACTACTGCTGTTACTTCATAAGTTGATTATAAATAGCTTCACCACAGTCAGTGCAGGTGCTCTCCCTAACAGTAATTGTAAGTAAGTATTGACAAGTCGAGTGTCCACCTTTCAGTGAAAAAGCCAGATAGGAGATGATGCTTTGCTCAACACTGAAAAATTCAGTAGCTTTATATTCTATAATAATGCATAAAAATAGTGAAGTTCTTCACTGTTGTTTTTAAATCATTCAGCTGTTTTCGAATGTCATAGAAGACAAGCTGATTTACTGTTGCCAGCAGGAAAAAGATGAAAATTTATGGCAAAGTTGCACTGTTTTATGAAATGCATTTTGTGTACCTGCCTCCTTTGTTTTTGTGACAACTAAAATGTTCCTCCTTGTTTCAAAATAATAATAAGTTTAGCTTAGCCTGTTAGTGAGTCTCACAGAGATGATGCTGTGTTAGGCATGATTTTTAGGATAGACTCCTGGGTTTTAAAAATGTGCCACATTGGCATTTCTTAAAGTGATACCTCAAAAACAAAAGTTTTTATTTTAGGGGAATAACAGCGACATCTTCATTAGAAGTAATTTTTATCGTATTGAGTATGTAAATTTTATGAAGCTTGTTTGTATGAGTAATTGGGAAATTTTTATAAATGTGAACATATATATTTATTTGACTGAAATAATTCTTAGTTTTGAAGCTGGTTTCACAATGAGTTTAAACTTTCATAAATGATCAGTTCGGGGTGTTTCTTTTACTTCAGGCGTAAACCTTAGGAGCAGTGACAAAATTTAGGATAGGGAATTTTATTCTCTGCTTTTAGAAAATTAAGAGCTACAGGGGAGTTGCATCATGAAAGCCTTTGTATAATGTATAATAATGGAAATTTTATATGAGTAAGCATTTTCAAACACATATTAGTGGATATCAGTATTTCAATATTTCTTATGTTTTTAATTTCACAGTTATCAATGTTAACTTACTTTGCTTAGTACTTGAATATCCCTTATGCCCAGTATATTAGATACTTAATGGTAGCAGCATAAGACTTCAACCGGTTATCATGGCTCAGCACCAAAGATTACAAGTACCTCACTGTGGTGCAGTTATAAATTTTCAAAATGGTAACTAACCTAGATGTGACTACAGGAAGCTTCATTATGATGAAAGCAAGTAAGTTCATATATACTCAGAAGCTGGAAAGGTGTCCTGATTCTTCCTTCACCTATACCCCAACCTAATGTGTCCTCAGTAAGACTGGGAGAGTATTATCGCTCCTCTTAAGATATACTTACCACTCTCAGATTCTAGGGAAACTACCCAAAAATAAATAAATAAATAAAACATCCCTGTTTTAGCCTAGGAAGCTCTTACACTTCTAGCATTTCCTTAACCTAGTCAGTGCCCTCAAAACAAAATTTGTTTTCTCTGAGTCTCCTGTTTTACTCCAGTTGTTTGGAGAGAAAAACAGAGCTACTAGGTTTTTATGAATTTTATCTGCCTTTGTCATATTTTGTGTATTTTATAAAAGTGTGTTTTTTATCAAGGTGAAAAAATAAGTGAAAAAAATAACCTTTCAAGTTACATGCAAAAGAATGGCCTCATCCCATTGACTACGTAATGTGATTAAAAATGTGATTAAATGGTAACAATTATGATGAAACATAAATTACTCAGTTACTTGTTTGGTTTCTGTTGTCAAGATTATAAACTAGCTTATTAAAATTTGTTTTCTGAATAGCAATATTCAATATATTATTCAATTCAATATATTAGTTAATTCAATATATATTAACTAGTATATTGAATGCAAATTAAAGTGTTTTTCACCCCAAAAGCAATCTTGGACTTGTTCGTAAATAAAATTTCCATAAAGAATAGTGTGAGTGACCAAAATACAAAGACAGTCTACAGAATGGGAAAGGATATTCTCCAAATACACATCCGACAAGGGGTTGATATCAAGGATATACAAAGTACTGGTTGAACTCCACAAGAAGAAAACATCCAACCCCATCAAAAAGTGGGGCAACGAAATGAACAGAGACTTCCTCAAAGAAGAAATCCGAATGGCTAAAAGGCACATGAGAAAATGCTCTACATCATTAATTATCAGGGAGATGCAGATCAAAACAATGAGATATTATTTCACACCACAGAGACTGGCCCACATTCAAAAGAACAAAAGCAACCTGTGTTGGCGCGGATGTGGCGAGAAAGGGAACCTCCTTCACTACTGGTGGGAATGCCGACTGGTTTAACCCTTTTGGAAAATTGTATGGACAACTCTCAAAAAATTAGAAATTGAGCTTCCATTTGAGCCAGTAATACCACTCCTGGGAATATACCCCGGAGAGGCCAAAAAGTATAGTCAAAGTGACATCTGCACTTGTTTGTTCATTGCAGCACTGTTTAGCTAGAATATGGAAAAAACCTGAGTGCTCAAGAATAGATGACTGGTTAAAGAAACTTTGGTACATCTAAAATGAAGTCATGAAATTTACATACAAGTGGTACTACATGGAAAGTATCATGTTAAGCGAAATGAGTCAGAAAGAGAGGGACAGATATAGAAAGATTGCATTCATCTGGATAACATAAAGTAACAAAATAAGAGACTAGCACCCAAGAGCAGCTGTGATAGATACCAACCAGGTTGTTCTCTCCATGGCTTAGAAGCCAGCCACACATGCCGGGGGCAAAGGCAGCTCAGATAGAGAAGGGAGCACCAAATAAAGGGTGCTGGGAAGATCTGCCCAGGATGGGAGATGCATGCTGAAAGTAGTCTATAGACAGAACATGATTGCCACCCAGTGTCTCTTCTGCAGACCCACAGCACCCAAAAGGAGAGATAGAACAAAAGGGAGTGCCCTGCCACAGAGGCAGGGTGGGATGGGGGATAGGAGGGGTGGGAGGAATACTGGGATTGGTGGGGGTGGAGAATGGGCACTGGTGGTGGGATGGGTACTCGATCATTGCATAACTGAAACCCAAGCACAACAACTTGTAAGTCTACAATTGTACCTCATGATGTTTCACTAATAAAAAATAAATTAATAAAAAAAGGTAATATTGACTTTATTTTTAAAAATCTTAGACCTCTTCCTGTCTGCATTAATAAGGATTGTAATAAAAATCTCCATGAATATAAAAAAAACCTTATTGTTCTACTTTGGATACCTTAATACTAATAAATTAGATTATAAGAACAATGTAAATAATTGATAAATAGAGGTTTAATAAATGTATTAAGTGAAATAATAAAATAATGATTTCACCTTGAAAAAAAGAATAGTGTGAAATATCTCATGAGTAAAACTGATGTTTTTACTAAAGTAATTTTCTTCCAAAGTGATCTTGATAAAAATTATATTGGAGTTGGATGCAAATCTAATGTAAGAAAAAAAAGGATGTAAAAGGTAGAAAAAATGTTCTCTCTGGCAGTTTGGAACGGAAATAAAACTATTGAATATTAAAAATTTAAATGTCCTAATTAGCTATTCTACTCGTGTGACTAATAAGACCATTTAGCTTCCCTGGGCCTCACTGTCTTTCATCCATAAAGTATAGACCAGATTGTCTCTGAGAGACCTTCTAGTCCTTAATCTATAGCCTTTATTCATATTTTAGTAAAATACAAATAGTAGTATTCATTTTAGAAATTATTAAAGATGACTATCATTCTATCACAGTAGAGATTAAATTTATTAATACGTCTGTTAATCTTCTTTAAGCAGATATCAGATTGTTGGCTTACATCCTTAAGTTCCAATGTAAATAATTCTCACTTGATGCATATGGAATTTACGTTTAGATTTGTATCTGCATCCAGATTATTTGAATACTTTGAGACTAATACTCTGACTAATGGTCTTGTTCCCCAAATAGTTCATTTTGTGTATATCACTTGTTGCCTAAAATCCCTCAGAGGTATCTCCAGCTCTTTACATTTGGTATCTATTTCAATCTTTGATTCTTTGAGGCCAAATCATCAATCAATAAAAATTATATGACTGCATATGTCTATATTTACTATTCACTGTCTAAAGTTCTACAATCCTGAGTCACCCTCTATTATAGTAGTTTGAAGAATTATTATTTTCATGAAAAGGGCAATTTCAATAAATAGAGATACATAGCCTATTCTGGAAAAGTTAGAAAAAGCTACCTAGAGAGAGTGATGACTTAATTTGTGTGTGTGTGTGTGTGTGTGTGTGTGTGTGTGTGTGTGTGTGCGCGCGCGCACGCGCGCGCGCGCGCACGCCCTAGAATCAAGCCCAGGTCTCCATACATGCAGAGCATACATTTTACCATTAATCTATGTCCTGGGCCCAGAATTGTGTTTTAATTGAAGATGAAGTTGGGAGTTATAGCAGTCCATGACAGAAGGGAATACTATAGACACATACGTACACTCCCCGCCCCCCAAATGGGGAAAAGTGGTAGTAGAATGTGGGGTTGTCAAGGATTACTAACTGAGGTAGAAAGTGATAAGAATTGAGACCCCATGTGAGATTCTCAGGAAACAAAGGTCTTATGGTGGGCGCAGCAGCTTGGACTCTAAGCAATGTGAGACACAAATGTGAGAGCACAAAGGAAAGCTATGCCTTTTATTGGAGTTTGTTTCCATCCAAATTCCAAGCTTTTTTTCCCTATTTTTGTGTGTGAGAGAGAGAAAAAGTGTTACCAGGAATAGAATGACACCTTTTAAACGATGTAATGAATCATACTTGAAGACCATATATGTTTGTTTGGTTTTTTTGTTTTTGTTTTTGTTTTGCTTTTTGGGCCACACCTGGCAATGCATAGGGGTTACTCCTGGCTTTGCACTCAAAAATTACTCCTGGCGGTGCTAGGGAGACCATATGGGATGCTGGAAATCTAACCTGGGTCAGCCACATGCAAAGCAAATGCCCTACCCACTGTGCTATCCCTCCAGCTCCTTGAAAACCATATATGGAGTGATTTTCATTTGCAGTGCTCCAGACCCACTTTTCTAAGATAAATCATTTTGGCCGCAATGCTATGAAAGTAGAAATCAGCCATGAAAGGAAGAGGTACAGAAATTCCAATAGGTAAATAACTGAATCAGAGGAAATCGGAGAAGAGATAAAAAGATTTCCTGAGACAAATGAGAATGAACAAACTAAAATATTTATGGGACATACTTGAGGGACACAGAAAATAGAGCAGTCATCACCTTTAAAATGCACACACTCCAGGAAAATTACTATTTAAATGTTGGCAAAATTATTTGTGCTTTTTTTGAAAACCCAATACAAGCAGTTGAATCTTGCAACAATGACCTGGAATGGCGGTGTAAATATAGCTACATGTGGCTACATAATTTTGGGGGGAAGATCAAACCCGGTGATGCTCAGGGGTTACTCCTGGCCTTGCACTCAGGAATTACCCCCTGGTAGTGCTCAGGGGACCATATGGGATGCTGGGAATAGAACCCGGGTCAGCCGCGTTTAAGGCAAATACCCTACCCGCTGTACTATCACTCCAACCCCAGTGTCTACATAATTTTAAGCTAATAAGTTGTCTTAGTTGCACTAAACACATTTCCAGGGCCATGTAGCCATGGTGGCTAGTGACTACCACAACAAAAGGCAGACAGAAAGAGAACGTTTATATCTTTTGGTAGAAATGTTGACAGTCTAATAATCAAAAGTTTATGTGTGTGTTTGGTTGGTTGGTTTGGGAGCCACGCTTGGCAATGCTCAAACCTTACTTCTGTGCTCAGGGATAACTCCTGGAAGTGCTCTAGGGACAATATACAGTGCTGGGTATCAAACCCAGGACAGCCTCATGCAAGGCAAGTGCCTTACCTGCTATACTGTATCTCCCCAGCTGAATGGTCAAGTTTGTAAACCTGAGCTGTGTGCCCAAGAGAAATAAAGTCTTGGATGTTATTTTTTTATTTCTATTAAACTGAAGAAGCTGTGTTTCAGTGTTTTGTAATATTATCATTGTGAGAATCACAATGGTCCTGGGGGCAGGGGAGAAGGGGAGAGGGTGGTGGTAGAATTTTCATATATATAAGCATGCAAATACTGCAGCTCCTGTGTCGCTCTCTCTTTTCTCTCTTCTCTTTCTCTCTCTCTCTCTCTCTCTCTCTCTCTCTCTCTCTCTCTCTCTCTCTCTCTCTCTCTCAATACATTTAAAAATGCTTGCTTCCCAACAGCGAAAGTTTTGTACAACACAATTGATGTGTTCTTCAGAGCCAGCTTTAAATTGCTGCTTTCTCCACTGTTGAATTCCATAATAAACTCCGGTCTCTATTCTTAAACTAGAAATCATAAATAAAAACCTTTTAAAACA